AGACTTGTCAAGTATGGTAGTGCATACCTTTAATCCCAGCACCCATGAGGCAGATCTCTGTGAGTTCGAGGCCAGCCTGACCTACCTAATAAGTATGAGGCCAGCCAAGACTACATAATGAGAACCTGTCTTAAAACAAACAAACAAACAAAAACCCAGAATTACAGGTTTAAGAATAAAGTGATATACTAATAGCTCCACTATCATTTATTGTTTTTACTTATTAACAGTTATAATACCAAAAGCTTTAGTCTTGCCACTTATATTTCTAAGATTGGTCATTCAGTAATTTCTCATTTAAAATCCAGGGATGCTTCCTTCCCACAGATTTAAAAGCCGTAACTCAACTGAAAAAGAAATCTTTTTACATGCAGCTTTTCCCAGCTTGCAACTTACTGATGCCACATCTCTGTGTACTATTCAGATAGAAATCAAACAAAAAATTCTGTGTATTTCCTCTTGATAATCTTGATCCGATACAATTACTTGTATCAATTACATTTAAATTTTTAAGAATTATTTACTAGTGTGTGTCCGCCCGCCCGAGCCCACCCACATGGGTATATGGGGTTAGAGGACAACTTCACGGATGTAGTTCTTTCTACTGTGGGTTCTGTACAGCAAGCTTGTACGCCAAGTGCTTTTACCTGCTCTCTGGCCCACAACTACCTTTTTAAAGGTGGTCTGCTTTTCTTCTCCTTTCTTTAGCTTTTAGATATGGTATTGCATATAAACTGAAAACATAAAAGTCCTCAGTACGTATAGAGGGCTTAATGACTCTCACAAATTAGCACATCAAGCAGAACTCAGATAAGAAAATGTCAATAGCATATAGTGATAGTTATATTTTATTTTCTATATAACTATTCTAATTAGCCTTTGGGCTTTATTGTCAGTTATTTTATACTATATACTGTATGTGGGCATTAAATTCATTCATTTATTCACTCATCAAACAATTATTACTTGAAGACCTACTATTCCTTATATGAGATAAATCAAAAATAATGCAATGCAATATATAGTTCTAGTAGATAAGCCAATAAATAAACATAATTTCTAGGCCCTCATAGAGCTTTTATTCTATTAGCAGTAAATGATAATAAAGTATGTCAACCATATGGCATATAAAATGGTAACAGGTGCTATGGGAAAAAAAATACAGCAGATGGATGTTAGAAATGTAGAGGGGATTTTTAAAAAGCATGGCTGGAGATTTCCATATTGAAAAGGTAGTATCTAGGTCAAAATCTGGAAGAATGATATGGGGCCAGCCAAGTGGGTATCAAATGAAAGGACACTCCAGGTACAGAAGTTGGCAAGAACCAACCGTGAAATAGAAGTATGCCTGTTACATCAGCAAGAGGCTAAGCACATGAGAAAGGGATAGAAGGAAGAAAAGCAATGGGGGCAGGGTGGGTGTTAGAACACACAGGCTCCAGGGTAGCCTCTAACAAATGTGCAAATGTGGCTTTCACTCTAGTAAAGAGGAGGTTATGCCGAGTCTAGAATAAAAGGTATGAGATGCAGCATACTGCAATGGCTTCTGGCTAATGTACTTAGTAAAGACCCACAACAGTGGAAGCAGGGAGAGCAGCCAGGAAACTGCCACAATACAGGTAAGTGTGGTAGCGTGGACAGGTGGTAACAGTGAAGAAGGTAGGCAGCAAGTGGTCAGGCAAAGATTGACTTCAGATGGAGGCAGGGCACAGAGAATGAGACCTTAGGACAAGAAAGTACTCAGGTTCTGCCTACTGCACTGGAAGAGTAAAGCTGTTACTAACAATAAAACAAACACTACAGGAAATACAGATTTCAGATCTACCTCAGATTGGAACACAGGAAGCTTGAGATCTTCATATAATACTCAAGTGGAGACGTCCAGCAGAAAATTGGGCTTCACAGTCAGTTATTCAAAGGAAAGATCTGGGCTAAAGATTAAATTTGGTACCATCAATACACAGAGAGTATTTGGATCAAATCACCTTAGCAAAGGAATAAAGCAACAAAAAGAAGACACTCAAGACAGAACCCTCGGACATTATTAACAACTAGAGGTAGGTGAGATGGAGAGGCCCCAATGAAGTAACTAAAGGTGTAGGACAAAAACCAGTGAAGAAAACTATCCTCAAAATCAAGTAGAGAAAGTACTCATCAAGAGTGAAGAATCTAGGCCGGGCGTGGTGGCGCATGCCTTTAATCCCAGCACTCAGGAGGCAGAGGCAGGCGGATCTCTGTGAGTTCGAGGCCAGACTGGTCTCCAAAGCGAGTTCCAGGAAAGGCGCAAAGCTACACAGAGAAACCCTGTCTCAAAAAAAACAAACAAACAAAAAAAAAAAGTGAAGAATCTGAATCAAAACTGCTAAGACCTTTGCAATTCAGCAACAACAGTGCAGGAGAGCAAAGGGATTTCAGATCTACTTTTTTAACAAAATATTTTGCTGTCAAAGGAGAGAAAAAAATTAAATCAGTGACAGAAGGGGAGTAAAGGTGAGAGAGCATAGTGTTGGCTGAGGGAACAATTTAGAAGAGAGGATAAAATGATACGAGGAGGGAGGGGGTGCTGGAGCAAGAGGAAGTGAAAACTACTCTAAAAGGAGCACAGTGAGTGCAGCCCTTATAGAACACACATAGACAGGTAGGCAGATAGCAAGAGCTTGCCAACATTCTCTTCTGACTGCTTCTAGTTTGTTAGTGCTCTAGGAAGTGAGGTCTTTTTGAGGAAGTGACGTTAGGGTGAAAAAAAAATGGACCACAGAGATGAACTATGATCAGTGGACAGCACTAAGGACTTCCTGAGATCAGTGATCTAAAGTGAGCAGTAAATGTGATTGTGCCTTTCCTCTACATACTTTCAAACATGTGAGCACAGGCCAGGAATTAAGCGCATACAAGGCTATGCACACTGTGACTACCCATGGAATCTAAACTGAATAAAGACAAGAGAGACCCAGGTATACAGTCGGAGCTTTTCTGTGTCCCGGCCTGCTGGCAGTCTAGACAAATCTTTCCCACTCACATCCCCCAAGTAAACACACAGAGGCATATATTAATTATAACTGCATGGCCATGGCTCAAGCCTTTTGCTAGCTAGCTTTTATATCTTAAATTAGCCCATAACTATTAATCTATGTATCGCCACATGTTCCGTGGCTTTACCTGCATCCCATTACATGTTGCTCCTTGGGCGGCTGGCTGGTGTCTCCGCCTTCTTCCTGTCTCTCCCTTTGAATTTCCCGCCTGCCTCTAAGCTGCCTTGCCATAGGCCAAACAGCTTTATTTATCAACCAATCAGAGCAACACATATTCACAGTGTACAGAAAGACATTCCCCCATCACAGGTAGGATCAGCAAGAATGAAAAAATATGTCAGATGGACCTAGAGTAAGAGAAACAGAAACATGGAAAGATATGAAGGCAGCTGAGAAGAAACTGAGACTGAGATAACAATCTGATTTGCAGTTTGTATAAAAACGAGGTCTACACATGAACAGAAAGCTAGGGCAGAAGGCAAACTCTGAAGGAGTGTAGTTCCAGGTTTGAAGATACGGGGCTACTGAATGCTGTACATGTGAGCACCGAAGTCCCCAAGAACTTTCACACATGCAGTCTTGGAATATCTTTTCAAATCTGTCACACTGACAAACAGTCTTGGAAAAATAGTGTCTTCCTCCAGAGGAAAGGACAAGTTTACCTTTTCCCTTAAAGAGAATCTCATCCTCCCCAGAGCAGATATGATTTACCCATTATAAAGAATTTCAGCTCCCTAAGCCAGGGGTTCCCCCACCTATGTGATGAGCTACTGGGGTGCAGGCATTCCCTAGCTTCTTCACAGCCAGTTCTGAGACTCTCACTAGTTCTGAGACTGAGAACTAGTACAGGCAAATATTAGCATGGTTTGGGGTGTTTTGTGGATAATGCTTTTGCTGTTAATAATTCTAGAAGTCTCTATCTCTTCTTCTGTCGCCATCCTTTAAACTAGGTTAACTTATCAGTTTGCAACTGGAGGAAAATCTCCAACACTTGACAGTTGTTGGCAAAATCCTCAAGGGATGGGAGGTACAAAGAGATAAATACAACTAAATGTGTAGGAGGAAGACGAGTCTGATAACAGGAGACAAAATCTAGAGACGTTTTAAAAGAAAATATGCTGGAAGAAACAAATACAACATCTCTAGGCTCAACAATATGAAAAAGCAAACACACGCACGCACGCGCGCGCGTGCACACATACACACAACCTGTTACTTGTGAAGGTTGAAGGCAATGACGAAGAAGCAAGATTTAACTTCAAGAATTGAAGTAGTAGTAACAGATGAGGTCCAACCATTAGTATTCTTACTACTGACCTTGAGTTCTATGGACATTATAAAAGCTTTTCAGGAGACTAGGAAAGTGAAGTCTTTAGGGTCAGATTTGGACATACGCAGAAACACTCACAATCTTGGGCTCCTTGCAGTAACTCACAGGAACAGAAAAGGCATGATGAAATTAGTTGTAATTAGTCCTCATCAGATTAGTTTCTATATCCCTTGATATGGTTTGAACTGGATCATGAGGGCACTGTCTTTCTAGGTGAATTAATCTACTTAAAAGTTCATAGCTAAACAGTCTATCAGGAAGTAGAACCTAGTTGGAGGAAGGGGGCCACTAGAGGTGTCTTTGAAATGTTTATCTTGTCCCTGGCCCTGTTGCTTCCCAGCTGCCATGAGGACAACAGCATTCCTCTGCCATGCTCTTCCACTATGCTACTGCTTTGCCATGGACTTAGATGCAAAGGGATCAGCTGACAGACTGAAATTTCCAGACCTATGAAGCAAAATAAATCTTTCCTCTAACATGATTTATGTCAGGCAATATGCCACAGCATAACCATCTAATATCAACTATGGAACACTTCTTATCAAACAAAGTATTTTCAACAAATTTTAATCTTAAGTTTATAAAAATATAATAAAAAAAACTAATTAAAGGTAGTTAAGATGCAACTGTTAACTTACTTGAATTAGATCTAAAATGCCAAGCTCACTTTCTGAGGAATCCACACAGAAGACAAAATATAGTGTTGCATAATGTCTATAAATCAGTTTGTTGTCAGATCCTCCAATTAATCTAAATGACAAAACAAAATAATTAAAATGGAGTAGGGAACAAAATACAGAACATTTCATTAGCTCAAGCAAATTTGCATTTGTTAAAACCTTTTAGAAAACAAAATGCAACAATGGCATAGCATTCAAGTAAACTTCAGAAGTTAAGTAAATTAAGACAGCAATTTTGTAGTCTTCAGAAAGTCAAGTAAAAGAAGCCAGTACTTAATTTTAGTTAGTTATTCATCAAAGTATTCACTGGGTAAGCACGGTGTGTCAGGCACTGATAGCAGAAAAGAGACAAGAAAGTTAATAGGTAAGGGAAGGTGCCACACAGAGAACCAAGGCAGGTCCTGACATATCCCTTCAGAATGGACACTGAGAAAGAAAGTAATATTTAGACTGACATCTAATCATTAGGGGTGGGCCACGGAAAAATGAAGAGAGGAGCACCTTGGAGTAAGCTAGCAATGGCTGAAAAGAGTCTTTCATCAAGACAATATGCACTTTCAAGGAGTCAGGAGGCCAGTAGACAAGAATAGATTAGTAAACAATGAGGCTGAAGGAACAGGCAAAAGCCAGATCAGAGTATGTGCAAGTGCTTACAAGATATAACTTCATAGGTCACAGTAAAATACACAGCTTAAGACTGATTATCAGCTAGAAAAAAACAAAGATTATTTCTTAAGTTTTAGACAGATGCTCTCTAAAAATATTGTTCTCAAATCTAAATGTAAGAACGCTGGGCTAATGAATACTCAAGTCTTTCATCAAATACTTTTATTCATACTGATTAGAATTCAGCAGTTTTAAAAGAATAATTTAGGAATCATCTGAGGCATCTTATATATTTCCAAATACACTATAGCCGTATAAAAGTCGAGTTTACAATACCAAATTTACCTTCTCAAGACCACTTCAACATTAACATAATTTAAAACTAGGCTACATACAATCAGAACTAAGAGAGCATTCACAACAATATAGGGTGTGGCATTTTTCTTATTCCATAAATATAACACTAAACTTACAAGCTCTATAGAAACCACTTCTCTAAGTACATACTACTTCCTTGTCCTGTGAGAGCAAAAATAAATAATCTTGTGGAGGGGGGGGATGAAGGATTCTTACTATGCTGTTACTTGTCTAGAGAGGATTTAATTTCAAAATCTGTATGCACACTTCAAACATTCTGAAATTGGTTATGACAACAGTCACAATTGTTCCCTGAAGGTGTGAAATAAGCACCTCAGCAATTTCACTATAGCTTGATTTTTGTTTTGTTTTAAAGACCATGCTTCTGAAAAATGTGTTATAAAGTAGATGAATGCTCAGAGAAACTAAGGACCTCTTCAAAGCAAGTCCATAGTTGGCTTTGAAAATACAACTTCACTTTAAACAAGTCTAATACTGATACAAACTCTTGTATGAAGTCTTAGTTAGGGTTTCTATTGCTATGATGAAACACCATGACCAAAAAACAAGCAGGGGAAGAAAGGGTTAACTTGGCTTCCCTTTCCACATAGAAGTCCATCACTGAAGGAAGCAGGACAGAAACTCAGACAGGGCAGGATCCTAGAGGCAGGAGCTGATGAAGGGGCCATGGAGAAGTGCTCCTTACTGACTTGCTCCAAATGGCTTGCTCAGCCTGCTTTCTTATAGAGCCCAGAACCACCAGCCCAGGGATGGCACCACCCACAGTAGGCTGGGCCTCCCACACTGATCACTAATGAAGAAATTAACTTACAGCTGGACCTTATGGAGGCATTTTCTCAATTGAGGCTCCTCCTCTCTGATGACTCTAGTTTGTGTCAAATTGACAAAAAACTAGACAGTACAGAGGTGAGATACAGTATGTAAAATTTTATAAACAGAAATTCCTAATTTTTGGTATCTTCTTAGACCTAATATTTCATTTTAGAGGAGAAAATTAAGTTCCAAGAATTTGAACAATCTGACCCAGGGAACTGACTAGGCAGGTTCAAAACCAGAACAAGGACAGATGAGCAGCCTCATCTCTGGCACAGTAACCACTTCCCATTTTTATATGGTTAGAAAAGAATCTCAATTCCAAAGCATAATTCCTATCCAAACAGGGCTCTTTCTATCTCTGGTTCTCACCACTCTACCTGTGCAATGCACTACGTGAGGGGGAAGTCTATGAAATAAGGTAAAAGGCTAAGAGAAGCAATAGCTATAGCAAAGACGACTAGATTCCTACAGAGGTTTAACAGAAGCAGAACAAGTGGCTGTCTCGGTCATTAAGTTAGAGTCTGGAGGGGGTTAACACCAAAACCTACAAATTATAAATATGCATTACATGTTGAAGTACAGCATGATATAACATTTTAAAATGCAACTAAAGACGAGTTAGCTGCTGATATGCAAGTAAACTTCCCACATGATTAAAAAAAAAGCGTATGGTCAGACAAAAATGGGTTCTGTTGCCCTGACATATAATAACAATATGGTAATTCATGAGGCTTTGCTGATACTTAGTTTAATTCCCAATGAGAAAATATTAAGTGTATTAATCATATAACTGGGGAGAAAGTATTTATGGAAATATGTGAAGGTAAACTGCTTTTAATAGAATCCATTCATTTAAAGTATTTCTTTAGAGTTTGGGACGCACGTTAGTAGGCAAACACTTGCCTAGCATGCACAAAGCCTTAACTCCCAATGTTGCAAACAATGAAAAAGAAAAAGAAATATTTACAGTATTGGTTTAGTTTGCAAGCTAATTTTTTTCATTTTAAAAATAGAAACATCTACTAGCTGAATCTATACTAGGGTTTTATTAGGTACATAGATAGATTTGAAAAACAGACTTGGACTTTGTTTATAATGAAACAAAGAATATGATCTGAATTTTTACGGGCATTCACCCTAGGAATCCTATACCCATTGGAAAGAATGATGTTTCAGACGTTTTAAACATCTATTACATTTATTTATTTGTGGATGTGGGTGTGGGTGTGGGTGTACATATGTCAAATGACAACTTGTTGGAGTACGTTCTCTCCTTCTACTGCGTGGGTCCTAGGGATCAGATTCAGGTTATCAGGGTTGGCAGCTAGCACCTTTCCTAGATAAATTCTATTTCTCCAGATAGATTTATAGGCAAAATTTTACAAAATACTAAGTAAAAAAAGCAACATGCAAATGAACACTATGATCTCCTAAGTAAAATATTTTAAGGCTATATTTTTATATATCAGTAAATATAAAATACACTTTCTGGAAGGATACACAAGAAACTGGGGAAAAGATTAAGGCTGGGAGAGGGAAATTTTTAGAAAGACTGAATATGTTAAAAAGTGTATAGATCAGAGTTATGCCTAATAGTGATAGCAATTAATTTATCTAATTTAATTAATTATGAGGAATTTTCATCATAAACTGGTTAGTAGTATATACTTTCATCACACACTGGAAATTAGAAATATCCATGAAATGCTTTACTTACAATCCTCCTTCTAGGAAATTACAAACATTCTCATCTCGCTTAGACACCAAATGGAAAGTCTCCCTGATGATTTGCTGTTGCGTATCTTCACTCTGAGAAAGGATAATTCATATGCATTAGGATCAAGTTTACAGGTGTAACAGCATTTTAAGACATTTTGAAAATAAAAGATAGTAATTTTAATCTGGAAAAAAAAGGGAAGGGTCCTTGGAAATCAGATACAGATTACAGAAGCAAAACCCAACATAGTTTGACGAAAAAGAGGAAAATCCATTATCGTTTACCACTACAATGAAAGTAACTTATTTCGGACCTCTTCCAGAGGTCCTGAATTCAATTCCCAGCAACCACATGGAGGCTCCCAACCATCTGTAATGGGATCTGGTGCCCTCTTCTGGCTTGCAGGGACACATGCAGGCAGAACACTATGTACATATTAAATAAGGGAGGGAGGGAGGGGGGAGGGAGGGGGGGAAGGAAGGAAGGAAGGAAGGAAGGAAGGAAGGAAGGAAGGAAGGAAGGAAGGAAGGAAGGAAGGAAGGGCGGACTAACTAACTTATTTCTACCATCATAAACAAATGAGAACCAGAACACTCAGCCACACCAGTGAAAGAGGAAAGCAGACGTAGGCTAGTGCCGGAGACCGATGCTTTACAAATGGCTAAACTAAGCCGGGAAGTAACATTAGATTAACTCATGGAGCCAAAGTTAAGTATATTTGAGTGCAGGGACAATAGAGAAGCTTGGTTTACAGATAAAATGAACCTTGATAGAATACAAATTGAGGTTAATGAGTCCATCTTATTCATCTTTATGTAAACAAGACCCCAAACCAAGAATTGGTTCAGTAGATATTTTCTAAACTCAACCAAGCAATTCCTATCCCAGTAAAAAAGAACTAGCTTCCCAAGTCATTAAAAATGTGAGCAAAATTATAAACAGAAACCTCACAAGAAAGGAAATACGATGGTCCACAAACAAATACAAAGATGCTAAGGTTCAAAGTAGTCGGTGGCATCAGTTAAAGGAACAATGACGACACTTCAGGAGCCACATTGGCCCAGGTATAAAACTCAACACAACTTCAGGGCAGAGAAACGCTCAGCCCACCAGTGCAAGAGTAAGCGGCACTAACAGTTCACAAGTTTCATTAATGGACATTTTTACTCCTCATACTCTGCTGACCCCTACGAAAGCAGTTTTTTGAGGTTAAAAAAAAAATTGTCAGCAATGGCATACATATAACAAACTCTTAATATATACAACAGGAATGTGCTTATAAAATGGCCTTTAAAAAGCTGAAGTATGGGGAGGCAGAGGCCAGAGGATCTCTGTGAGTTCGAGGCCAGCCTAGTCTACAGAGTAAGTTCCAGGACAGCCAGGGCAACACAAAGAAACCCTGTCTCGGAAAAAAAAAAAAAAAAAAAAAAAAAAGTTGAAGTAATCCAAATACCCTCCATTCACAGAATGGATAAACTATGATATATTCTTACCCTTAACCACTTACATTTCCAAATCATAATGTGAAAAGTAAAAGTGCCTTGATTCAATCTGTCGCAACAGCAAGAGGCAGACTGGGGGGGTCTACAATTCATGGTTTATTCTGTGGAAGTCTGGGGGCTAAAAATCCAAAATCAAGATCCCAGCTGTCATTTCTGGTGCACGGTTCTCCTCCTAGCCTGTGGATGAGCTCTTTCTCACTGGGTCCTCATGTGGCAGAGAAAGAGGGCAGAAGCAAGCTCTCCAGCACCTCTTAGGAAGACACTACTCCCACAAGAGGGCTCCACTCTCACATCCTCATCTAAACTCAGTACTTCCCAAACTCCAGATACCATTCCAATGCGGCTGGAGCTCCAACATGGGAATCTGGGAGAGACACACTTCAATCCACAGCTGAAACAGAAAGGGCAAGGAGCATAATGATACTTAATCATTCCATTAGGATAAAATTCAAATCTAAACAAAACTAAACATTGCTTAATGACACATATATTGCAGGTAATAGAAACAAAATATTGCCAGCAATAGTGGCACACACCAGTAATCCAAGTATGTAGGAGGCTGAAGCAAGAGGGTTCCAATTTCAAGGTAACTCTGGACTCCATGGAAAGTCAGATGATAGCCTGGCTACAGAGTGAGACTTTGAGCCAAAGAAAAACATAATTAAACTATAAGAAAACGAAAAGGATGAATAGCAAATATTAAAGGATTGGTTTCACAAAAATTATATTCTCTAATCATATTACAACTAGGTAGAAAAAAAGTCAACAATTAAATGCAAATTATTTTAGTTTTCAATCAAACTTTTAATGAAAAGATCATAAACCAACAGTTTCTCATCTCTGTACATAAAGACTGCAAGCTTCTGAATGGAGAGATCGGTCCTGGGTAAATGATTCCTCTATGACACTGGAAGGCTGCACAGCTGCAGCTCCAACCTAAAGTTAAGCTCAGTGTGCCTGCATCCCTCCCCTGCTCTGGGAAGGGTGGAAAAGTAGGACATGATCCCTTTTCCAACTCCAGTGAAATGAAACAGATATTCTTCTGCAGGTACTGGCAGATGGAATGAACCCAGCCTGGCCCCCTGGGGCTCCTGCAAGTGGGAGGCCGGGAGTCCCAGGATCTCTCTTTGACCCAAGAGAAGTCTGTTACTCAGTATTTTAAGATCAATATTACAGCAATAAATAGCAAGGTGGGGTAAAGGGATTTCCTGGTAGAAAGTTGAAGCGAGTGACACCCCCACTTCCTAGAGAGCATCCTAGGAAGAGAGTTTTGGGTATCCTTAGTTTCCACAGCCCCCAACCACCTCCAGTTTATGATGTCAGACTGAGACTTTGGACAGATCCTTCTCTATCCCTCATTCCTAGCATCCACGGCACAGGTTCATCAACGCTAACCCCATCATGGCTGGGTAAAAGGAAGACCTTGGTCACTAGAGCACAAAAGGGCTTGAGAGTCTGTCTGCTCTAAAAACAGGATCTTAAAAAATTTTTTAAATCATCAATATGAATCCAAATGGCAATTAATACACAAAAATCCCCTCCATAGTATAAACATCTTCCAAATTTACTTTGGACCTCCCTGTGGAATTTGCTCACCTGCGGCTTCTCCCCACCCACACATCAGTCACAGTGAAAGCTCACCGCTCTCTCCAGTCCCCTGCCTCTTGAAACACCTTGTTCATCCCACTTGCTATTAGTACCTCTTTCAGTCTCAGCTAAACACTAGGACTCCATGCACCCTTCTTTTGACTCTCAGGAGGGGAAAAAAAAAGCTGCCCTTCCTACCTCCATGCTCCTTGGTACCATTTCTACTCCTGCTACACACTTCAAACAACATACTTGAACTTCCTTCATAGACTCCAAATTCTAACAGTAGGGTCTGAGCTCTGTATCTGAAACACTCAGGAGAGATGTATACTATGAAACAAGTAAAATTCAGAAATTAAGGATATCATGAAAATTGTAACACAAGAAATTTTCAAATTCAGGATATAAACTAGAAAAAAAAAAACTTCAAGAAAATGCCTACACAAGAGATTGGAGGCATAGTAGAAAAGAGAACATTTTAAGAATTTACAATAGTCCAGAAGAATGAAGAATTGCAGACTCAAAATAGAGAGAAGGACTGGGGATATAGGTAACTCGGTGATAGCCCTTGCTTAGCACACTCAAGGGCCCTGGGCTTAATCCCTGCATCAAAACAGAATACAAAGAAACCAAGAAATGATTACAGTAGACAATGAGAGCTTCCAGAATGAAAGACCTGGTGGAGCATCCCACACTATGGATGTGAACAGTCTCACAGCAAGGAGCTCTGAGACTTTAGAAACAGGAGTCTACACTTCCCGGTAAATTAGTAAAATCATCATACACACAAAGGGAGGAGCCAGACTTGCTGCAGACTTTTTGAAAACCAACCCTGGAAACAGAAAGGTGGCACAGCATGCAGTCATGGAAGAAGTACTTCTGACCTGGAATTCTAAATCTCAATGTCCTTATACTAAGACTTTCAGAACAGCGAGGTCTCATAAAATCTACTTCTTGTTACATTTTCCCCAAGAAGTCCCTGGTGCCACCATGATAAGGCAACAGACAAAGATCTTCAAGCAACTGAAGATCTAACATAGAGAACAGGCAAGAGAAATCCCTCAGATAATAAAGTCTAAACACGACTGCCAAGTAACTGGTGCAAACTGGTCCTAGTCAAAAGGTTCCAAAAGAGATTTTTTAACGAACAGGAAACTGACAGACACATGCTGGCAGAGACATATATTAGAGATAAGTAAATTTTAAAAAGCCAGCTCAAAGGGAAAGCAATTATCTTTAAGGAAGATAAAATGTCAGAAGGGAAAAAAAAAAAAAACAAAATTTACAACATGGCTCAGCTGAAGATAGTTTACATAAAAAACTAATATGAGCACTGAGGAGTGATGTAATCCGAAGTATGAAATAGCTTTGAGAGACTGAGACTCGGATGTTCTAAGTCAGAACTAAATAATTATTTCCAATAACAAAACCAAATAGATTATGAAATGTCTACAAAAGAAACTTAGCCAAAAGCACATTATTTACACAATGCTGTGAAAACCAGATAAAAGTAGTCGCCTTGGAAAGGAGACATAGGAAAGGCTTTTTACTTTTGAAATTATAATTTGATTACAACATTTCTTCCTTCCCTTTCCTCCCTCCAAACCTTCCCATATACCTCTCCCAGCTCTGCTTCAAATTCAGTCTTTTTTTTAAACTGTTATTGCATGCATATACACATATGTATATACACACATATTTCTAAATATAACCTGTTCAGTTGGTATAATGCTACCTGTATATGTATTTTCAGGGCTGACCATTTGCTACTGGACAACAAATTGGTGTGCTCTTCCCTGTGGAAGGCTACCTTTCCTGTTATCAGTTTGCCTCCACTGCTTATAGTTCTTTCTGTAAGGCTAAGACCTCATGGGCTTTTCTCTGCCCAGTCTGGCAGTTCACTGGTGTCATCCTTCAGTTCACATCTGCACATTCATGTTGGTGAGACTTTATGAGTGTGAGCTTCAGATAGTATTAAGAAACACAATCTCACAGCAAATTCC